AGCTCTGTGGGATCCTGGGTGTGGTGAGTACTCTACAAGAGGTGGGGTAGCCACTCCCAAGTGCCCTGACTTAATTGTCCCCTGTGGAACCTCCACCAGTCCTGAGCAGAAAGAGCCATGGCTGCCTTAGCAGCAGTGGGCCAGGGAGGGGAGGAGGGAAGGTTCTGAATGGTGGAAAGCTGGTGCCCTAGTCCCCTCGTGTCTGTGGGGCCCTCTGGTATGTTCCTCACTCCTGTCAGCTGGATGTGGCCTGCCCTGAATGCCCAAGCACCAGGAGACCCACAGTTCCCCTGGACTCACCAGTCCTACTCTGCATCACTGCTGTGGTCCAGTGTTGCAGAGACCCAAGGGCTGAGATTTCTGGGTCGGGACAGCTGCAGAAGCACGGCCCGTTCATGAAGGGAGGGACATAAGCCGCACCCTCCACACAGAACTCAGGAGTGGTGAGCAGAGTACTATTGGGGGTGTATCTACCCCTGCAAGCCTGGCACTGGCCATCCCGCAGCTCACCATGCCAAAAGCTCGTGCCTGGGGGCAAAGACAGCTATGTCTGCAACATCGGGTAGTTGGAAGAGGGGAGGTCCTTGTCTCCACATCCTTTCCCGGGCTCCAGTGCTGCTTCTGCTCTAGGGTGGGGACACTCTCCCGCCCTACAGACTTGTCTCTGCGCTCACGTCTCTACTTGGAGGGGGTGCAGACAACTTCGGATCACGAGCCAGGTGCTCTCTGGTGCAGTTAAGTGCACACTCTGCCCTCCCCTGCTCTAAAAAGCACTTGCAGCAGGTTCCCCCGTGTTTGTCACAGTCCAGGCAGGTGCTGGGGAATGTCTGTGTGGAGGGGCGGGCTGGTCCCCAGGCTACTGCAGAAAGCTCAGGCGGGGGCAGGGCAGGCTGTTGGGGTTTGCTTGCTCCTGTGTCCTGCAGCAGAGCAGCAGCAGCAGCAGCAGCAGCAGCAATATTTGTCCTTGGAGCACATGACAGTGCCCAGCTTCCTAACTCCCCCCACCCCCCCGCTAGGCAGCAGGGATGAGGGTGCAGCTCTGGCCCAGGTAGCCGCAGCGCTCTGGGTCTGGGCTCTCAGAATGGCGCTGGCTGCAGCACTCAGGGCTCAGAAGCCTGCAGGACCTCACTGTGCCCCGCTCCAGAGCAGGGCCACCACACAGTCTCTGGGCAGCCCCCGTGTTAGTCCGGAGGCCCCGGAGGGTGGAGGGGCCCTCCTGTAGCCAGGATTGTGCAGTCCACGGCGGGAGTGTGGAGCCTTCCCCACGTGCAGGCACTTCTGATCCTGCCTCGCTTCTCTCTCCTTTGCTTTTGGTGCCTTCCTTCGCTTCTCTGTTGATCCCGCTCCTCTCTCGTAGAGGATCTATCCAAAGGTGAATGAATACCTACTCGCATTTTGCATTGGCTCCGTGGGAGAGGCAAGGGGCAGGTGCATCGAGTCAGCCATCTTGAACCTACTTCCTCTGCAGTTTTCCTTTCTAGAAACGCAGTTTGTTTCTAAATGTCCACTTACAAAAAATTCTTCAGTGAGCATCAGGAAGCCCTTTGGGCCCAGGCCCAGCCACCTGGTCACAGCCGTAGAACCTGCTTTCTGTCTCTCGACTGTGCCATTGCTCTCTGCTCTGGGCTGGGCACAGGCTGCTCTCTCTGCCTGGAAAGCTGCACCCGCCCCGCCTTCCCTGGCTCCCTCTTCTCCTCCACTTCAGCGTCTGCAGCAGGCAAGCCCCGCGTGACCCCTTAGGAATGGGTTCCCTCATTTGTTCTGTTTGTTTTCCATCATAGCAACCGCATGACATTAAGAACTCTCCTATATTATATTATTATTTCTTTTAACTTGCTAATATTTCCAGCTACACCGGAGCTAAGTGGCCATGAGGTTTGTATCTTTTGGTCCCACAGTTGTATCTTTAGCACCAAGTATAGCATCTGACACATAGTGTCAACGGAAAAAAGACCAAACTCTGTAAAATAATTTTAAAGAGATTTACTCTGAGCCAAATTTGAGGACCATGACCCGGAGCCACGCCCAAGAGGTCTTGAGCAGTGGACTCGCTGTGGCTGGGTTACAGTTTGGTTTTATACATTTCAGGGAGGCAGGGGTTACAGGTAAAGTCATAAATCAATACGTGGGAGGCATACATTGGTTTGGCCCGAAAAGGTGGGCCATCTCGAAGCGGGGGCTTACAAGTTATAGGTGGATTTAAAGATTCTTTGGCTTGTAATTGGTTAAAGACATGAAGCTTTGTCTAAAGGCTTGGAATGTTTCAACATGAGGCGCTGTTTATCAGAGACAAGCCATTGGACATAGATTTGTTGTATAAATTGAGGACCTGCAGGTTTGTCTTGCATACCCTTAGGCCTGTTAATGGGTTACAAAGGATGTCCCCAAGAAGGGAGGGGGACATGATGAGGCATGTCTGACCTCCTTCCTCCTGGCAGGCAATTTAGTTTTAGGATATTCTTTTGGTCATGAGGGGGTCCATTTAGTCAGCCGGTGGCGGGGGGGTGAGCCTTAAAATTTTATTTTAGTTCACCATAGTAAGCAAGAAATACGATTACACCCACACTGCCAGCTCTGGATGAGAGTACCCTTGTTATGGCCAGCATTAAGCATTCTAATTTTTCATCCATGAAACTGATATTGTCCATTTTTTATGCCAAGCTGAGGGAATACAGTGGTGAACAGAATCACTGTGATTGTCAATATGCTAAGAGGCTGTGCCTTAGAAAAATGGATTTCTTCAGTCTTTAACAATTTGATAAGCAAACCAATGGCATCTCAATTGGTGTAAGTGGTATAATTTTTGATTCTTTGACCAATGGTGAGGTTGAACCTCTAGCCATTGTGTTTGTCACAAGTACTTTTCTAGCTGAAGCTAGCGAGAATCTTAGAAGAGGCCCTCCCTCACTCCCGAAGATGGGGAATTATCTTTCTGTAGCTTGAAACACACTTTGCATTGACTTCTTCTGGGCTGACCTAAGAACTTTGAAAGATGCGGGGCATCTTTGGAGCTTCAGAACAGACCCTCCTAAATCTTAAGTAGATGAAGGAAGAGAAGTATCGGAGAGACAAATGCCCCTGATGCCCTGTCTGACAGGTCTACGACCTCTGCTTCTGTTACCCTCCTGTCACATTCCTCAGGTCTGTTCCTACTGTTTGCCTGAGGCTTCATGCAATGGTCTCGTCCTAAGACATGGGTGGGGGGATGGACAAAGCCTCCCAAGCAGCTGCTTGTCACATCTTTGTAGGTCTCATGTGAAGGGCAAGACTTCCTCTCTAGCCAAGATGCAAAGTACTTGTTTAGACTTCAAACTAAATTGTTTTATATGACAATAGGCTTTCTTTGCCTTTGGGGGGGGGTCCTTTTCTTCCTTTTTAAGTAAATGCTTTACAAATTTAGATTTTGAGAATCATTGGTCTGTGCCCCTATAAGGTGGAATAAGAGTCACTTCATTCTCACTATTAACAGGACAAGGTGAGTCTTTATAACACATGGCTCCTACACCTATACCGTTGGGGTCAGTTATGCTTCTAGCTTTAAGGAAACTAATGGTGGAATATTAAAATACAGCAGGAAAGTGTTTAAAACATACCATATAAAAATTATAGTATATGAATTAGATGTACCTGTTACCCATCCCACACCTCAGAGGTCATATACAGCCAAGGTTTTGTGAGACGCTTTTGGTGAAGTCCTGAACATCCACCATTTTCATCACTGTTCACTTTGATGTTACCTCTTCCTAACTGGCTTTGGTGGGAAGATTAATTGGCCTGGTAAATTGAAACACTATACATAGAAACATATTTGTTGATGGGGAAAGGTGATGTTTATGGTGTATTTTAAGTGAATTAAAACAGGTTACACAACAGTATGATCCCTTCAAAACTGTATACGTGTGTGTGTGTATATGTATATATGTAGTATGTGTATGTATTTTTATATATATGTATACACATTTTGTATATATGTATACACATGTATACATATGTGTGCAGAAAACTGCATAGTATTTATCAGTGTATAAACATCAGATACATGTATCTATATACATGCATATATGTGTATATATACCTATGTATGCTTACACACACACGCACACGCACACACACACACAATGTCTGAAAGAATACAACCCAAAATATTAACAGTCTTTATCACTAGATGGATGTTTCCCAGTAATTTTATGTTTTCTTCTATTTGCTTACGTACTGTTTTCTTTTTCTCCAATAAACATGTTTTACTTGTGCCATTTAGAAAAGTTAAAATTTGACCTGTTATTAAAATGGTGTCTGTTTTAATACTACGTTATTTCTGTATGTTTGCATTTATAGCCCAAACTTAGCATGGCCAAATGCAGAAGAAATGTGGAAAACTTTTTGGAAGCATGCCGAAAATTAGGAGTACCAGAGGTAACAACAAACTTAGTTCAAATATCCATGTTTTAGTAAAAATTGTATTTAATATATGTGTTCGAACCATTGAATAGATTAAGCTTTATATATTTTTTTACTCTCAACCTTTCTTAAAGAATGATATTGAATAAATATGTACAATTTTAATTTAAATTGATCTATTGTGATAAAATTAAAATGGCTTTATGCAGTATGTTCAATTCCAATGAAAAAGGGAAAATAATTTAAGTAAATGTGAGATTCCAAACTTGGGAAAAAAATTAATCAGCTTGATTCTGTGAGAGCAGAAATTGCTGAGGCTGCAGGTGAGCAGGTTCCATGGGATAGCATTTTGGAGTTGATGGTTTCCTTATCCCAGAATCTTAAGCGAAGACCTATAGTTGCCAACTAATCGTTGATTTTCATTCTCTGTAGTTGCATTTTGGGTATATGGGTCAAAAAAATCAACACTGAAAATATTATAGTTAGTATTATCATTAATCATTATCATTAGTAATAACAATGTTTATATGTTGCTTTATAGTTTGTTGACCATTTGCACTTACATTTTATTCCTTTAGTTTGCTGAAGGCCCAACTGGCAATTCCATGTAGCAGCCTGGCTGTACAGTTTGCCACGGTTTTCCTCTCTTAAGCTCAATCCTAGCCTCAGCCTCAGGCACATGGTTAATTTGGGGGCCCTTAAAAACTTTGCTATTAGAACATAAAATGATTTCTTAGAGAGATATGAGCCAATTCACTCAGAATTTGGGGGTAACCATATAATGGGGAAGTTTTATCATCATTGTGATAAAGAGAAATGGATGGAAATTGTATTTCTTATGATTTCTTCTATCTTCCCTAATGCCCCAAGGATGATATAAAAAATCTATTATGTGGTACTGTTTTGAGCATGTGAATGAATTGCATTTCAGTATAATTCTACGCAGTGATAGGAGTTAGTTATTGAAATCAACAAAGCCTTTTTTCCCCTCTCCCTTCTCTCCTTCCTTTCTTTCCTCCTTTTTTTTCCTTCCTTTCCTTCTCCTCCTCTTTTTTTAGCTTAGTGGGATTCAAAAATGGGGGTTAGCGGTAGGCTTCAAATCTTATTTGAGGAAAAGGATAGTATTATTAAAACATCTTTAAGTCAGAACTGTATCAATAAAAAGGAGCTTACAAATTCATTTTTTAAAAGAGTATAGTTTTTACACAATGCACTAAATGTCTTTGTGATCAGTTTTGCTTTCAGCATTGTTAATCTGTGTGTCTATATTACATATGTACATTTCAGTATTTCTCATACATTCTTGGCTTCGAATATCTGTGAAAATACAAACCTTTTATAATGATTTGATTCTGTCATGGGCTAGTAAGATTGCCCATGTGTGAAATCTTATACCAAAATCTTATACCAAGCTTCAGATGATGCGTTATTCGTGTCTGTGCTAGAAAGCACTGGTGAGTTATGACCTAACCCCCTGCAATTTTTTAAAACTCATCAATTTTGGGGGGGTTACAGTGATACAAAATGAAATGCAAATGCCCTTAACCTTTTATTGTGAGTAAAGATTGGTAATTACAATTTCCTTTTAAGGTGGGGAAAAGGAAATTAAATTACCATAAAAATGTAGAGCAAAATTTATCATAATTTCTGAATTATGCACCTAGCATAGTGCCCCTAGCACAAATGGGCAACTCGTAATTCCCAAGAAGGTTGAAATACAAGGAGCATGAATGACCTTTTTTGCCAATGACCCGGTTAACTATGCTTAGTAAGAAGTATATCACTCAGGATATTTTTGAAATTATCTTTAAGGCTCTAGGTGATTTTCAGGTTTGCTCGTGTGTGTGTGTGTGTGTGTGTGTGTGTACATACTTGTACGTGTACATACATATCCATCTGGACGGATAATCCACTGGCATTTTACTTGTGACTAGAGTTACTTTAGATTTATTGCTACTGGAAAAGTCTGTTAGCAGTTGAATTTCTTTAATGAGAACGTTAAAATAAATAAGAAATATTTTGTGTAAAACCATAAATTCCCAACTGGAAAGCAATTGGCAAATTGTCCTATATGGGCCAAACTGCATGTTTTCATCTCACAGAAAGCATGAAGAAACGTTTTCATCTAGGAGCATAGCACTCAGTTAGGGATCAGATGAACTCCTCCCCCTTAGATATTTATACTTCTTTCACTACTTAGGGGAGTTGATGTTTGAGTATAAGTGCGTCACAGTACAATTGATGATTTACACTGAAAATATATTAATAATTGAATCACAAGACTACTTGCAGAAATTCTCCATCTACAATTAGACATGTTTAAAGACTGGTACCTAAAAAAAACAGAGGACCTCTATCATTACTTTTTCTTATTGCATCAATAAGAATATATGGGTAATAAAATATTCATTGATTTTTCTAGTCATCAGCATAATTAATCCCCTCTAATTTGCAAGCTTTTTCCACTTCTGCATCCATAACTTATCTACACATACACACAAGCCATAGAGAGTTCTGCAATTTCTAAGCTAAATATCTCATTGACAGTGATAAATCATCCTGCAGATATGGAAGAGTCACAGCTGTGCCCTAAGCCTGTGTGTGTTGCCCCTTGTAATAGAGTCAGTTGGAAACGACAAGCCAAAGTCAGGGTCAGCAGTTTGTATAATTTTATCAGGTTCATATAGATGGAATACAGTAGCTGAGCAGATTTAATTAGATTATTACATGTGAAGTAATATGATGGGATGGAAACAATTTTAAAATTGTTTTGATCGTTACAGTTTACTGCATTTTTCTTCAGCAGTCCCATGAACACAACCCGAGATACTTGCCCCAGGGCTGGTCAAGGTTTATGAGACGTTTGTATGTGCTACAGCAGCCAGAGCCGCCGGGCCACTCTGTGGTTTCTCTAATATCCAGGAAATGTGTCAAGCAGGATGTGGCAGGATAGCACCTAAAGTCACTGAATAAATAGTGACTAAATAGAGATTAGTGAGTGAGACTGTCTCTCAGTGGTATTTTAAGCTTGCTTTTCACAGTAGGGTAGGAGAGAGGGGGTCTGGTGTGACTTATTTATAAATGTGGCTTCTCAGAGTTGGCTGCATGCAGAATTACAGGCGGCGTAAAGCACCATTCCACATCCCTTTGTGGTGGTAACGCCTGCGGGTCGCACTGTGCAGCTGTCTTTGGCCTCTGGTGTAAGCTTAAACTTGGCCTTGAAGACAGGCCTTGGTGGGCTTCCACATTCTTCAAGATACATTCTTCATATCACCTAAGAATCTGATTCCAATTAGGCTTTGGAATCATGAGGTTTTTATGAATATACTGAGGCTTCCTTTGCCTTTTCTGGGTCAGCTTGGGCCATGCCTGACCTCTAACTAACCTCTATGTAGCAGATTCACGGGTGGCTACTAGGGGTTTCCAAATGGATCCAAATTTAGGGCTATTAGTGTTGTCTCAGGTTGGGAGAGAGCTCCAATTTATGAAGCATTAAAAGTATGAGAAAGCAGATATTTATTTGGTTCTCCAGGGAAATTTTTCTACTCAATTTTAAATAGGAGCCTTGGTCTCAGACCTCTGTGAGGATTAAGGTCTTTAATTTAACAGATTTGCCCTCTTAAGATGAGGAGGGGACTTAGAATGGAAATGCACATTGTCGTCTAGCTGCCAGCCCTTCATCTTCCTTGGTATCTCTAGAGAGAAAATAGAGAATTAAAGGCAGCAACTCAATCGGCAGTGGCAGGGTTCTTGGCCGGTGATGAGCCCTGCTTGCCTGTCTGGGCAGCCTGGGGGTTTTTTCAAGACTGTAGGAGGTAGAAGGTTTTTACTCCATGTGCACAAGGACAGGTCACTTGGGGCCCCTCAGCTTCCACATCAGCCAAATGAACTTAAGAATAAAATCCTAAAGTATATTCAGATGTGAACAATGATTGTGTGGCTGTAACTGGAATTATGGCTGAGTTGTTTCCGTCTTTTCAGTACCTTTCATATTTGCATTTTTGTTGTCTTTTACAATGACATTTTATATTTGAAAGTAATAGTAATAACTTTCCTACTTTACACCTGTTGTGAGAGTTCAGGAAATTATACATGTGTAACTGATCAAAAATTTTTGTTATTGAAACACAGCCTATATATTAAGTCTACTATTTTTCTTGGCTTTAATCTTGAGAAAAGGAGAAATGAGTTCCTTATCCTTTTTGAGCCTTATGCGTCTTTTTCTTCCCCAAATCAATGATTTTAGTATTAATTTAAATCATAGCTAACATTTTTTGGGGGGGATGAGATTCTTATTACAAGATTTAATTTTCCACTCATATTGGTTAATTCTGAGGTTGAATAATCAGAGGTGCAGACTGACAGGTTATTATTTTATTAACATGAATTTTTTAACTCATAATTTATTTAAAAAGAACCAATCTCTAGCTTGTAAACTCAGTTGCATCTTTTATAGCTAGCATATGTTTGCTGTTCGTGTAAGCATCCTTTCCCAGGTGTATGCCTCCTGGTCACCTCTGGTCACTGGTCTGACAGCCTTTCCTATGCGCATATTCAAGAATAAAGCATTTTAGAAGCAGCATCTTAAAAAACTTTTAAATTACATTTCCAAATAAATTAGCATACCAATATTAGGTTATCCTCTAAGTCCATAAAATTGGTAAATAGTTGTCATATATTTGGAGAAAACTGGAAATCCTCCCCCGCCTCTTCTCTCCTCTCTCTGCCAAATTATATTATACCTTGTCACAAAATTAGATTTTAAATTCTCAGAAAGACCATCAATATTCTCATACTATGATAATTTAGATTAAAAAAATACTTTGTAAGCAGATTGACTTTTAAAATTAAAATTATATTTAAATAAAGTCAATATGTTCCAAATTTCTAGATGAAACAACTGTTTAGATGTGGTTAGCTCTTCGAATTTAGACTGTAGTACACCCAAAACTCCTATAAAAACTAGACCTGTTGCCAAATCTGTCTACATTTCTGTTTGTGTCCATAGTGTTTGA